GAGGAAATTTCATGAATATTAAGGGTACTATTTTAGAAATGACATGAAATATCTATGTATATTATTATGGGATAGTTAGGGAAAGAACTATGAAGGAATATAAAAGTTGTAATTGCGCACGAGCCTAACCGCTTTTTTTGGCTTAAAATTTCAGGCGGAGGATGGCCCTTAAATCCTTTGCTTTAATTGTTACTGTTACATCCGTACCGCAAGTTTTCAATGTTTTTCACTAAAACCACTCACAGAGAACAAAGTTTACAACATAATATAATACAAATATCTGTTGAATATTTTATAAATCACTGTAAATGACTCACAAACTACTGCAACATGCGTCTGTCATATATTTATTTCGCGTCAACTCTACTAACTCTACGCATGACGTCAGCGCCACCATGACATCATGCGCAATATCCCCCCCTGCATTATGGGTATTAGTTATACCTCTTCTTGTAAAACCCGCTTCATCGGTAAAGAGAACCTTCTTGACAAAGGTTGGATCTCTTTCTCTTTGCATATTAACAAATCGACAAGAACCCAAACGAATTTGAGAATCATGGACTAATAATTCTTGTACTGGCTTCTTATGGTATGGATATAGCAATTGTTCTCTAAGCACTTTATGAACGACATCTTTACTTACTCCTAGTTCCCTTCCAATTTGTCTGGTGCTTAATTCTGGATCTTCTTCAACACGTTCTAAAATGTCTTCTTCAACTTCAGGAATCCTTACAAAACGTTCTGTTCCATTATCAACAGTGTTGGGAGCAAAGGAACCGGTCTCCCAAAGACGTCTCTCAACAGCAGCAAAAGTTGGGTGGCTAGGTACACGACGATTTGGAAACCTTTCTGAGTACACCCTGACACTCTCTCGAGCATTTCCTTCACAAAATCCTAATGTCAGTAACATATCGGTATATTCTGCATTGGTATATTGTACAGCCATATTAATAAACCACGCATTTGTTTTTTTAATTATTGAGTCAGATAGAACACTTTCAATCGTTAACAAGAGATTATGTGTTAAAACTTGAAAATATTTTTATTTATATGAAACTATGGAAATCAACAATAAATATTTTTGTATACGTATTGCAGCAAATAATTAATATTCCTCAAAAAATCGTACATGGGAAGAATCGAGTCTTTTTGTTGTATTATGTATTATTATCGGACAAAAATTTAAAACCATTTTATTTGCCACATAAAACTCTACTAATATACCAAATTTCAGCAAAATCGCATATGCCGTTTTAAATTTATATGGGAAAAACGATTTAAAAATTGTAACTTCAAGGCCCTCTGGAGCCCAAACGAAGCAACTTTGTACTAAAGTAATTTTGCTTAAATCGACTTATTTTGGTCTAAGGAATATGTGGTATGTTTTTGTAAAGACCCTGTATAATGGAGAAAATTGCCTTCCAAAATAAAAATAGACTAAAATTGAAATAAATAGTGTTAATAGTTGAAAATTGACAAACTCGAAAGGTATATTTTACTGATTAAAAATGCCTTATATGTAAAAAGAATAGCAACTCTTACAAAACATGTATATTCTAAAAAAAGTATTCCTTAAATAGAACAAAGATCTTTTTATACACGTTCAATAGACTGAAAATAGTAAATTAATCGTTAAATATACTGATGATGATAGGTTATTGTAGTTGCTAGACTATTTTAATCCAATACGCCTGCCAGTATTTGCTAAACGTCTTAAGAATTGAAATATACATGTAAGAATTTAAAATTCGAAAACGTTGGATCGATGGTATTTAGTTGAAACATATGGACCAGACGAAGTACCTGTCTCTCAACGGAGTGACGACGAAGGCATTAAAATGTGTTATTTATTACCCTAATACTCATATTTGTTATTTTAGTATTTATTGAATTCCTAGGGCAATCTGGCCTGAGAATAAGGGGACACTCATAGTTCGGCCACAGCTTATACAATACAGCTAAAACACTCTCTTGGCGGCAACGGTTTGCGTCGATTTCGTCGCGCATCGCTTAAGCTCCGCCTTCGTAGGGAAAAGACGGTTTTGGCGTTCAGAAGCGTACATAGGTAAGGTGTTGAGTCGTGCGTATAATTTCGTTGATTGTATAATTTCGTGGAGCCTATAATTTCGTAGAGTTTGTTTGAGTTAAAGGTACTGTTATTATTTTGGTGACTCTTTAGCTGTGAGTAGAATGAATGAAAAAAAAGACATCATTCTGTTTGTGCAGTCAAAAGCTGTTTTAATAAGGGTTATACCTGCAAGAAAACATTCTTTAGTTTTCCCAAGGACCCAAACCGATAAGTACCACATTATAAGAAATTTTCATTGTTAAAAATATAATTTATACAGGGTGTCCCATTAGTGCGTTATTGTTCATTATTTTGTTGTAGACACGCAAGAAAGTTTTAAATAAAAGTTATATGGATTTGAAAAATACCTACATATTTTAAAAATATCTTTGGATATACAGGGTGTCACGTTTTTGCCTGGCAAATTAAAATGTATGTTTTTTAAATGGAACACCTTGTATTTTATTTTATGATGAAATTATTAACACCCTAAATTATTATAAAGACGAATTGCTACAGAAATTTTTTATCAGGTATGTGTGTGGTTACCTTTTAATAAAAGCCTTGCGGATCCACTCCTGCGATACCTGTCTTAAATATAACAAAGATCACGTTGAAATAGATGATTTTTCTTTTTATTGCTTTTTAAAGGCATATGATAACGCCAATTCAGATACATTTGGAAATCTGCAACTGTCAAATGATGAATTTGTAGAACTAATATTCAATATTGAAAAGATATTTAAAAATAATTTTGAAGAATTGGCTACAAAAAATAACATTTGTACCACACTTTTAGAATTAATTAACCCAATACCCTTTAGTCATCCATGCTAACGTTTTCCAAAAGAATAACTTATTTTATTGTATGTTTAATCTCAATAACTAAAAAATATACTGACAATTAGTTTGACAGAATTGTCATTTATTTAAAATTTTAAAAATAATAGCAGTCGGTTGATCAAAATATGAACGGTGATTGGCGAATTTATTTTTTTTTGCAGTGTTCTCACTACCTAGAATGGATATGAAATATATTCGTTCAATTGAAGGCAATAGCATACTTTTTCGTTTTGTAATCTGTGCATGGATATTAGCCAATCTACGCACATACTACAAAACGAAAAAGTATGTTATTGTGTTCAACTACGAATATATTTCATATCCATTTTAGGTAGTAAGAACACTTTAACAAAATTAAATCTACAAATCACAGTTCATATTTTGGTCACCCAACTCCTATTATTTAAATTTTTTTAAATAAGTGACAATTCTGTTAAACTAATTGTCAATATATATTTTAGTTATTGATATTAAATATACATTAAAATTTTTGTGCAGACTCGATAAATAATAGCATTTTTGTTTTTATTGTGTCCACATTTAAAAAAAAAATTTAATTAAACTACATGATACTAATTTAATTACGAGTATTAAAACTAAAGTCCTGAAAGTTTCGGTGAAGATGAAGACAGAGCATCTGCCTTCCACGCGAAAAGTCCGGGATCGAATCTAGGCCGAGGACTAATTAATTTTTCATGTTTATTTTATTTTATAAATTAGTCAACTTCGTAAATTATTTTAAAATTAGTTATTTTGTCTAAGTGACCTAAAATAATTTTTTAAATTTGTCGATTGAGTACTCCGCCTACGACGTCGTGCTCAAACTTTGTCTTTGTGTGATATGGCTATCATATCCACCCTTGTTGAACAAACTACAATTTATTTGTTTTCTTGGTTTAAGTTTTACATCAGAAATAGGAATTAAATTAATTTACTTTTCAAGTTTTCTTGTAAAAATCGATATTACGTTCTCCAAGTACAAATTTAGTACCTACCTAAAATAAGTACTAATTATGTTATATCTTGTAATATTGTAATTCAAATTTCACATTACTATAAAGTTTTAAAATTTCCTACTTCGGTATGGTCAGATAAAAATTGAATATATTATATTAATAAAAATTGTCAAAGTATAACTTCTACAAATCTGTATTTCAAATAATAAGAATACATCTAAATATAACCAATATTGTTAAAACAAAAGCACACATTCTTTATAATTCCAAAATACCATAGAGGTCTCAGACCTCAGTCAAAGCATTCGTTTATCTAGGTATAAACCCTTTGCGCGAAGAGTAACACTTGCCAGAGACACGGGGGTACCACTTGATTTGCATCCACGAGCGTGACACAATTCTTTAACAATTGAAGCCCTTGGTGTAAAAAGGATCCAAGCCACAATTTGTCGTGAAGTGACTGTTTTAGCTCAAAACATTTGTTAACGAGGATTTTACTAGCCACATATAAATTATTTTACCTCTAATCCGAAAGATGTGCTATTTTTCGTAATATTTATATTTAAATAATTTTTTTAATTATATTTGAAAGATTTAAAACAAATTAAAAATGTAATTTCCCAAAACTTACTTAATATGGCATGTGACCAACCTTATTACGCCAAGGTTTTCAATTTTTTCAATAATAAAAAAATTGTTTAATCCGGGCCCGACTTTTCCCTCGAATCTAACAGAGATAGGACCATTCCGTCTTGCTTGGTTCTCGACCGCCAGATCAAAGACGCCGACACGGAATTGTGGAGCTGTATTGTATAAGCTGTGGTTCGGCTGTCTCAACGAAATGTCGAATTTACTTGTATTGTGTTTAATTTTGGAAATAGATTAATTTGATGAAAATATCGTGTTTTCTTAGATACACATTCGGAAACACGGACCATACAAGTTAAATCAGCATTGGTGGAAATAATTTCTACTATTATTCCAAGAAACAAACCTAAATTTTTTTATTTACTTTTCGTCATAATAACTGAATTAACCATATCATTTCGATTTATTACCTACTTTATCTTAAAAATAAAGCAAACGCAATTATTATCTTTGTTATCAAATACGCAAAATTTTTACCAAACAAAATCTAGTCGTTGTACGCTACTGACGTATACCAAATCGTGCGATAATTTTAACAACAATACTCAAGTTCGATTTATTTTGTAATAGATCATTACTCGTAGTAGTAGAAATTTGGTATAAATAACAAAAATGAATGTGACATATTTTATAACTATCTTATTCGTGTATTTATTAAAACAAGCTGATTGTATAAAGTGTTATGAATGTTTTGTAGTGTCTCATCCCGATATTGCTGTTGATAAAAGTGCCCACAGGCTATGCAAAGATTTCGATTATTCCAGTGGCTTTGTTAGAGAATGTAAAAATTCTACATTCTGCACGAAAAGTATTATCAAAACCAACATGCTAGGTCCTAAAATTGAAGTGGAGAGAGGATGTGCGAAACAAATATATTCATTTATGAGTTACAAAAATAATCAATGGTATAACGAATATAAAATTATAGAGGATGCATATAAAGATGGTTGTTATAATTTAAACAATCAGAAGAGAAGTGTTAGTGTTGAAAATTGTTATTGTAAAAGTGATTTGTGTAATTCCTCATTGACATTAATACCGCATTTGTATTCGTATTTATGGATTATAATATTTTTTATAAATATCTAACAGAGTGTTTATTAGTAATAATTTTGTGATTAATATTTAGATAACAATCTGTGATAAGGTTTGTATTATTATCTCTAGATAACTTTGGATCGTGTTTTGAATGATTAAATTAAATACCTCAATATCGATAAAACGGGTAAGATGGACTTTAAAAAAAATGTAGTAGAAACTAGAATAGTTATATTTTAAAACATTAAAAAATAGTTATGGATTATCTGCGTTAAAGTGAAAAATTTTGTAAGGCCAAAGAATCTTTGTGCATTAGAATGGCGTCTGCAGACCAAAAGTTATTTGTAATTATTTCCGTAATTATACTTTTTCTTTTAATTGTAGATAAACGTCCAACTTAGGTGGTTCAGGCATTTATTTTTTTTAAATTAATTGTTTTTAATTAAAAACGTGTGGTAGAAAATGGACTATTTTTAGACATTTTTCATTGTAAGAATAAACTACAAATTCAATAAATTTTCTGAAAATGAAACCTTGAACCACCTAAGTTAAATATTTTCCTATCAAATCGTTCAATCGGAAAATACGAAAAGACTCAGACCTCTGAATTAGGACTAAAAATGGCGTCCTCACTTTCCGAAAATGATCAATAATTAGTTCATCCATGCTTCCATAGATGGATCGAAAAGATATTACATTTCGTCATTGTATAAAGAACTAATAGTAGTCTCACCTTATGGAAGTTTCATTGGAGCGAAATGGATACTACTAATAGATGGCGCTAGTGAATTTGGATAAGTCGGTAGTCGTTTACAGTCGCTTGTATTCAAGAGGGCGGAGTTGAGGGTCCAGCTGAAATTTTAGCTGATGACGGAGACCGATGGGTTTCTATTTTTAGCTCTTAGATGAAATTTTGTTCACTCGTGATTCATTGTTTAGACTATTTTCTATGTAATAGTATATATTGTGCGTTAGTACTTTTACGGGTAGTAGTAGTAGTGTCAAAAATGTTTACCGAATTCAGTAAACTGATACTGAAAAATTAAAATATTATAGCCATCAATAATTTTTGAATTTTCAATTTTAACAGCCTGCATTTCGAAAACGGTACCTAAATTTTTTTTCTAAGCATATTTCATTTAATCGTTTTATTTTTAATCGAAGAATCTTCAGTTGTACTATGTCCCATTCTTGATTGATATTTGTTATGATAAATAAGTTAACCAATAATTATTGTTTTAAAATTAGAATTAAAAATTTGTGTATTTGACCCAAATGCTTTTTGGGTCAAACTTTTTTCTCCGCCTCCGAAAAATATGAACGATGTGTCATTCGATTCGAAATAGCGTGTAAATGATTTTTAAAAAAATACAAGAACCGCTTGCAAAAATTGCAAAAGTTATAAACAATTAACTGAAAAAAAAATTGGGTTTGGTTTTTTGAAAATATCTCAAAAACTATTTGACATTTTCCAAATTAGAAAAAAGATTCAAAAAGAGGAGGAAATTTCGTCAAAAAAAAGTTTGTCGGTTTAGTCGTTTTAACCTGTCAGATTAAAACAAGAAAACCGACAATTCCGAAGCAGAAACGGATGATTAAAACGCACCTATTAAAAATATTGCGCCAAGATGTAGGCAACACGTAATAAGGGTTCAAAATGGCGGAGTTAAGGCACTCAGAAAGCTGCGCAGTGCGACCATTCTCCGTATAGTAAAAGAAAATCAAAGTATGTGTGCCAAATACACATTCTGATGTTATTTCAATAGAAATACAGGTTATGTTGTCAAATAGGATAGGAAATAGAAAGTATTTTCGTGATTTTTATCCAGAGCAATATAAAGTCACTTCAATTTTCGGTAGGTACTTGCAACGCAAATAAATGTTCGTACTTAAATTTCTACTCAACAGAGGTTATAAGTAGTAATCTATCTGGTACTTACGAGGTTTATTCGTAGATGGTAGCACGATCTTTAAAATAGTCTGGATAAAAGATACAAATTATAAAGTTAGATTAAAATTTTTAATAACTTCACGGATATACAGTAAGGTGTACATATTAGTTTAAGGAATTTTACTTACATGAATGTTCATTGTTATTTAGGTCAAATTGTGCTTTATTTTCATCTTATGAAATAAAAAAAATCTGTTGTTTGAATCTTGAATAATAATTATCATTAATATCAGAGTGTTTAGAGCGCCAATAGAACCCAACCTGAGATAAGAGACGAAAGGTAAGTGGGAAACTTACCATAAATATTAAATTAAAACAATTTGTTAAATCTATATAAAAACGACTGAGCATAGTTTTATAAAGGGAAGTTTTGGTTTTCTTCTCAATAAAATAAAAAACAAACTAAATAAAAATAAATATAAAATAAACAAACCAAAACAGTATATATAATATTTCCCGTCTTTAATTTTTTTTTAAGCAAATAAAAAAACATGCGGTAAGGGGTTAGTAACTGTTATGACATCTTAAGATCCTTAAGTTTTTATTAGTTCTATTCAATGTGACAGTATTTTAGGGTTACTACTGAATTTATTAATGTTACTTTTAGCCAACTGGTATTAATTTAGTTTCTTGGGATACAAAAACTCAGCTGGTTTACGGAGGGTGATTTTTGTTTCTCAACTCTTTTGCAGGTATCACATTCTCAGTTATTACCTCATCCTCATCGCTTTCTTCCTATTTAGAAGACACTTAGGTACTTGTTCCATCCATAATTAAAGTACTTACTATATGTGAATAATCCTTTGTTTTCCATCCTAAAATCCACATTAACATTGTTAAATCTTCTTAAAATTTGTTTTCTTTACGTACTTTCAAAGTATATTTTGTAAACAATTCTCATGTTAGAAGTTCGTCTAGTCTTGACGCTTTCGACTCTTGCAGTTTGACTTTCTTTGCAGGCATTGTATTGCGAAGCGACATTCATTATGACAAATTTTGAGCTCATTACAAAAACATACCTTTCGTGTTCACCTGTCGAGTGTTCTCTTAAATGGGATGACAAAGACAGAGAAAACTCTTGATAGGGACGTATCTCGAATATTGACACACTTTACTTCATACTGTCACTTGGAAAAGCGCCAAATTTACCATTTAGAAGATAATTTAGGGAGTGAATAAAGATATGAGTTCATTAGCTAACGATAGATTTTAACAATCGTTCTTACAACCGGCTGTATGCATATAAAGCTTAGTTAAATTGTAAGCTGAACTTCACCTTTTCATCTTCATATATTTTAATAAATAACGACGACTAAAATTACATTCTTACGTACGTGTAATTCAATAACACTCTATATACACGCCAAACTTCCGATTTGAACTAAATGAAACATTTAGAATAAACACATTTAAAACTTAATTCTCACCAGCAACGCATTCCAATAAATTGTCCATGCATTGTATGGACTATTTTGAGCGTACCTAATGACACAGGAGGTTAACATGTACAGCAGCACTTAACACGTAACCCAGTTTTTTCTAATTAAATTATTATCACCGTTTAAAATCGTATAATACAGAAGCAATCTACTTATAAATAAATAGGTGGATATCACGTACGGCACTAGAAATTACATTTATTAGGTAGACGGACCACCAGTACAGCGGTACGTGTAACTATCTCTTTGATTTGTTTGAACTTTACCTACAAGAAGCAGCTTAAAATGATTTAGGGTTACATTAGGACAATTTATCGTTCGATCTGTCAAATGCGTAATGATTTGTAGCATTGAATAGTATGATTAGACGTGTACTATTAAATTTTCTAGTTGGTACTACGTAACGTACCGGAATTTTGAAAAAAACATCTATATTATTTATATCAGATTTGCATGAAATATTGTCCTTTGAAAGAACATTCCTTGATTTATGAATACAGTTTGAAATAAAATTTAGACTGTATTTCAGGTTTAAAGTGGCACACTGGGTGGTAGATGACACTGAGGCAAGAGCAAAATAACCAAGTAGGTAATTCATGTCGACTATTTGGAACTATTTTGCAGAATTACATCCAATAATATGAGACTAAAATATTTTTTTAACCGTGGTTATTCAAGCTCGTTAATACTGCTATTAAATTGATAAGAAAATGTTTTGTTTATTAGTGGCATCCGAAACATTAAAAATTTGTTAACTTCTGAATTTAATTTAAAATACAATAAAATTATTAAATAGAGAAAACATTGAATGGAACTGCATTTCACTGTTTTTAGACATGTTTATAGTTTCGATAAAATAAGGTTAGAAAAACATTGCTTTACTATAATAAGTCATTTTACAAACGGGTAGGTATCTACAATAAATCAGAAAAAAAAAACAGTTCAAAGGCTTTAATGTATTTTAAACTTGGCATAATTGTGTGACATTGATCTAGTGGTCTCTTGTTTTAATAGCTTGGCGTCGGGATGAATTAAATTCGCCGATTCCGAATCTCCTCCACATTATGTACTTTTGTATTTGTGCGGATATACGTAGTAAGTAGTTAAGTTTTCTCTGGGCAACCTATTTTTAAAATTTCTTTATACTGAGTGAAATTGAATTATACTAGAACAAATAAAAACTTAATTTAACAAAGTAAACATTTTATTTTGATCAAATAGCAACGAACTATACTAACTAGGAAATAAATAACGTTATTTATTGATTTTGAATGCTTTCCTACTGCACTACATATGGCTTTTGAGCAGAGAACACATCCATAATTTGTTTCCCTTATTTTCGACGATGGACAAATGCTACACAATTTTCTTTTAAGAAGCTTGTCAGCTGGTAGACCAGTGGTCGCCAACCTGTCGATCGCGAGCTACCGGTAGCTCGCGGAGGCAATTCTGGTAGCTCTCACAACGATTTTAATTTAAAAAATCAGAGAAGCTACCGAAAATTCCACAAAAAAATCTAATTGTCATAATATTAAACATAAACAGCGGCAACGTTGCGGTGAGCGATCTGCCGTTGACGCCATCAAGCTAGAATCGACTAGAACCGACCAGCCGGACCAGCGCGTTAGTGTTCGAGAACGATCAGGATTGCTTTGAACGGGATAAATACGCACGGCGCGGCGACATTGCGCTTAGTTTAAAACTGAACGCTTAACCAACGTCCACAAAAAATATTATTATAGCAAGCAGTTGTAAGAAGGTAAAGACATACCACTTCCATTCGGAATGGGAAGAACAACACTTTTTTACAGAAGTTAAAGATAAAAATGTGTGTTTGTTATGTAATACTTCGGTCTCCGTTGCTAAAAAAGGAAATATTGAGAGACATCATAAAACTGTACATTCTAATTTTGAAAAATCATTCCCACTACATTCTGCCGCCAGAAAGGAGAAACTGAAACAGTTAAAAAAGCAGTTAATTGGACAACAATCAATATTTTTAAAAACCGTCGACAAAAATAAGGCTGCAACTGAAGCATCGTACTGTGTGTCCCAGATAATTGCACAAAAAAATAAACCTAATGATGACGGGGAAATGATAAAATAGGCGTTTTTAGAAGATGCTAATTCGTTATTTGCCAACTTTAGAAATAAAGACGAGATAGTTTCAGCTATAAAATCTATGCAACTTTCTGCTAATACAGTGATGAGACGTGTAGAAGTAATGAGCAATGATATTTTTTTACAGTTAAGAACTGACTGTGTTTATTTTTCACTTCAACTGGATGAATCAACAGATGTCGTTGACACTGCCCAGATGGCCGTGTTCGTCAGGATGGTTTTTAGTGATTTTACAATTAAAGAAGATCTTTTGAAGTTTATTACACTGAAAGGACACACTACTGGACAGGAGTTGTTTTCTCATTTAAAAAATATTATTTCGTCCGAGAAAATTCCAATATCGAAAATGGTAGGCATGACAACCGATGGCGCTCCAGCTATGGTGGGTTGTGATAAGGGTCTGGTGGCGTTAT